AATAATGTCCACTCACATAATCTTGAAAACCAGAAAGTTTATATATATATATATATAAACAATTCAAGCAACCGCAGCAACTTCCCCTACACTATTTTTATACAAAATTTTATTTTGCAATGAACAATCCGGATATTCCGTATCAATCCTTTACAAAAGATAGTTTCGCGTTTTATTACCTTTTTTTTAAACTATTTGTACATAGCGACATGCTTCCGCAAAATATCATGAGCTGCGTTTTCTGTTGCGTACAATGTACGTGTGTAATGGTTTTACATGTGCGTGATGCATCGACGCACGCATAGCGTAATTAACGTGCGTATTCGTCGAACGGAGAGCACGTCGAGTACCGAAAATACATGTGGCGGCGCCCAGGTTACTTCCGGCGCGCTTACCATTTGTTTCGCGAACATCGGCGTATTTTTGATTTTGCGAACCGACTCGTCGATGTCGACACTGACGAGATATCACGACGGAGATTTATCGATCAGCGTACGATCCGCAATACCGCTGTTGACAGTCCGATAAAAATCCTACCGTAGAATCACTGCTAAAATTCTCGCGTCAGCTGCCGGGTTGATGAAAGAAGATTTCTTTTTTCCGAAATAATTTGACAATACGTTTCATGAAATCATAAAGGTTGTAAAAATACGTTGGAGATAACTACTTCAAACACGGACGAGTAAAAACCATTGTATTTTTGTACATACGCCGGCTTTTACCAAATCGTGTTAACAACTGTGCTAAATTTGTAAAACTTTGTAACTCGATTTAAAAGCTTTTTTCTTGGCTAAGATAATTCAAATAATGTAATAACTTTTCACAGTATAGTGATTTTCATGGACCGTTAATAATATATTTTAAAAACAGAAAAATTGTATTTGTTAAAATTTTTCGGTAACAGTCTTTTTTATCTGTGAGATTTTTCAGAAAAATAAAAAAACTTGCATACAACAATTAAATTTTCCTTTAGTTTAGAATTTACTCTTACTGTATAGTGGATTGAGCAATACGCGAACGAGATATTCATATAAAAATTCGTTCAAATTCTTTTAATGTAGATGAGATATCGATCATTTTAATATAATAAACTCACTCGCATTCCGCACAGTTATCATTAAATTCATATTACAAATGGAATGAAACACAAGTCTAAAAAGTTATATGACCATGCATCAGGCTTCGATATTCAAAACATTCATGCATTAAAAAGACAACGAACAATAATGTTTTATTAAATAATATCGTGAGAATACTACGTTGAAAATTATCTGTTCGCGCTGTTAATTATCTGTTTACGCTGTTAATTATCGGTCAATAATGTAATAAAAATATTTACATAAAAATTCAAAAATTATACATAGATATACTAAATTTTGTGTATTTGTGACTATAGATAATTATATATTACTATCATTAAGTTTATTACTGCTGTAATTAATGTTAATCAATATCAGCTATGTAAATACATATATTTGTTGATAGAAGTGTACATTTTATATATATTTTATTTTATACAGTTGTTACTATTGTTATAACAACAATGACTATAATTATGATTAAACACAAATATCAAAAAATTTTTCTTTCAATGTAGAATTTATCTTATTGTACTGATAGAATAAGTGATCAAGTTTAAAAAGAAGCACATTTTGGATGAATATTCCAACAACTCGACAAACTAACATATATTGAAAAAGAAAAAAGATAAATCAAATAAACTATGCGCAAACCGCCGGTAGACCGCAAACGGTAATTAATGCGAAAAATTTCGCCAACTGTATGCACCGGAAATGTAGACCGTCAGCAATGAATCGTGTGTACATGTATGCGTGTCTGTGAGCTACTGGACACGGAGGAAAAATAAATTTAACCAGAATCAGACGCGCACATGATTTAACGAACAGTAAACCCGATTATTCGTTATTAAACAGTTATGAATATAATGTTGCGTATAAAAGTTTTATTACTTTTCGATGTTCGTGTTTTATCTAATAATAATTTGAATGGTAATATTTAATTTCGTAACGTTTCGCATATTAAGATTCAACTTCGAAATATTGTTATCTTCTTCATGAGAGACCACTATTTACCATAAAAGTGCAATTTTTCGCACATCCTATCTATTTTTAAATAGTAGAGATATAAAGCTTTGAAGAATTATACGGCTAAGCTACACACATTATGATAAAAATAAAAAATCCTTAAAAGTAAAAAATTAACCGCTACATTTTTGCTCTATGGAGAGAAGCTTAAATGCACTTCTGCAGCAATTAAAAATATTAATAGTAACACATTTGTAATACATAAAATGAAGGATGTTATTCATTTATTACTTATCGCAATGAACTAATGAGTATGTAAACCTAATCGACACGGATTTAGATTTATACGAGTGTTTCTGTTGCAGGCAGGTTTACATGGATTAACCGGACGTATTGAATTCAATGAAGGAAAGAGAAACAATTTCAAGTTGGATCTCTTAAAACTGAAAAAAGAGGAGCTTGTTAAAGTCGGCGAGTGGAAATCCGGGTCTGGCATTAACGTCACGGATCTAGACGCCTTTTACGAGACCACGACGACCAACATTACGCTCGTGGTGATGACGAGAGAGGTAATGATACCTTGCATCCAATTTAGTCACGTTTGCGACCTCGTAGCGTTAGAATTAATTATTAAGCAGGATACTGCAAGTGCATGGATCATATGAAGCTATGAAAGCTGCTCTAAATGGGGTCGGGTAAGTTTGTTATGCCGCGTAGAGATAGTGTCCACACATTTAAGCCACATAGCATCTTCAATATGTACTTATTAATAATATCTAATAATCTATGAGTCACAAAAGTATGTTAAATTACTCGGTATGTTCATATTAAATTGATCTTAAAATAATGAATTATAGGACAAATAATTATAGAAATTAGAAAACTTGATTTCTAAATTCTCGTTTCTATCTTTATAATATGTTAAATATTCAAATATGTAATTTGATTCATTATTATCTTATCGTTTCGTAAGGAAAAAACGTAATGTAACGTAACGAAACGTTTTCGTAAGGAATAAAATTCAGAGACGCTTTAGAGAAAATATAAAAAAAAAAAAAAAATAGCAAAATCGCAAATTGTCATATTAAGGAAAAATCTTAGTTGGTCGAGGGAACGTTTTATCGGCGTTGTGAATTCTCAGAAAAATGAAAAATTCATGTCTGTGTTGCAAAAAGGAAATATTTGAGGGACAAGCGATCAAAATGCTATATATTTGCATGGAACGGCGGTTTCTTTTCCATCTTTTTTTCTTTGATATAACCATCTCACGCGGAAATAAGAATTTTTAAGGGTTTGCCTTTGCCTTTCCCCTGTCACGATGAGCACAATTCTATGATCTATCAATGGGATCCAATCTTCCACAGGAAAGACCCTACGTCATGGTAAAAGAAGACAAGAATTTGACTGGTAACGCGAGGTTCGAAGGCTTCTGCATCGATTTGCTCAAGTCGGTAGCCAACCAAGTCGGTTTCCAATACGCAATCAAATTGGTGCCCGATCACATGTATGGGGTGTACGATCCCGAGACGAAAGAGTGGAACGGAATCGTGCGTGAACTAATGGATAAGGTAAGACAGAATACACAGATCGTGTTTTTCTTCCATAACTTGTATGATGAGATACAACATTATAAGAAATAACATAAACGTTGTGGTGATAACTTGGTGTTAACATGCGTTGAATTAAAATTAAAAAATTGAATTATCAACAACACGTTGCGCAAATCGGAAAAAAATTTAATAAATATCACGAGATAAAAAATAATTAAGATGTAGATTAATTAAACATCTGCATTTCTATATCAATGTGGATCTGATATAGTATTTCATAAATTATTTTAAATAATAGAAACAACGAATAGATCATATAATAAGCTAGTAAACAAATCATATAAGTGTATACTAGTAAACTAGTATCAAATTATAATTTAAAAAATATGATTATTGTATTAGTGAAAATATGAACATAATATCAAATATTATTTTCTTTATCGAAACTGATTTTGACCGCAATGTGTTAATAATGTTGTTGAAATTGCGCAAGCATAGTATATTAGGAGAAATATCGAGGTAGAGGAGAATGGGTACACGCGACCCAAGAGGCCGATTTTATATGCAAAGCAAAGTAAATTTCCGCAGACGTGTCGCAATAAATCCATCCCACGAGGAATTTCATTACGCTTGTAGTCAGATACAAGAATCATCTGGATTAATTATTTTTCCCATGAGCAAACGACGGTATTTAATATTTCAATTCATAGATCAGCTCGCAGATGTTGCACTTTGTCATTTGAATTGTAAAATTGTGCAGTTATTAAAATCAAAGTTTTATACATGCACTTCCGAGCATCTTTCGAATTTAATCTGTGCCGCCGATCCATTATTGTCTGCATGATCGAGTAGGCGCATACACAATATTCGCATAATTTACACAATAAATTGAAATTTACTGTTAATTGTTACAATATCACAATTATTAAATTGGAACGTGGTATACATATAAATCTGCAAATTAACAGTGCATCAATATTTTAGCAATTGTACGCTTCATTTTTAGTCAGTTAGAAAAGATTTCAGTTAAAAAAAATGTTTTGCATCTATTATATAATTAAACTTCATTCAAAGTTTGATTCCACTGGGACAATGAGGTGGAAAAATGCACCTACGAAAATGCAAATTTGCAATCAAATTCTCAATACAAGACATACAAATATATTTATGTTTTCAAAACAATTAGCTTCACATTATTATTTAATAAATATCTACATTATAAAATCTACATTATAAAAATTTACTATTAATATTTGCTTCAGAAAATGTAACTTAATACATCAAAATATATGGAACCCTCATTTATTTGTTTGATTTTATAATATACATACATAAAAAAATAAACCTACTAATCATTATTTTAATCATTTTTCTGTTGTTCCAATTTTTTATTTTTAACTTTCTTTATTAACAAAAATCTATTAATAATTAAAATAAGACATTTAGAATAAAGAATCTTTAAACTTTTTTCAATATCAACAATTTCTCTTTAAATTTTGATTAAAATTCTGACTTTTCTGCGCTTGTATATATCCAGAGTAAGGTAAATATTGTCTTTCCGTTACTAGGGGAGAAGTAGTTCTCCACTCGTACTGTTTCTTGTTTCCTCGCGATCGCATCTATGTAGCGGGTATTAACAGGAAGAGAAAATACATGTTCACTCGCGTACGAATTTTTAACGAAAAATGAAAATATCCAGTAAACATTAATGCATTAGAAAGCGGAAATTGAAAAAAAGAATACTTATAGAACTTGAAATTTTACCGAAACATGAAAGCACAAGAGCGCGATATATGAAACAGACTTATGCACATTTAAAAACAAAATCATATATTATTCGTGGAAAAGTCGCACAGTTACTATGCAAAAATATTATCGGCGTAAGAGTAAATCTGAAGTTTCGAATCGAGTTTTGTGGTTCTAAAAATACTGACAATTTTTGACGATAGTACAATTCAAGTACTAATATATTGATATGTATATACACACAATATATTATATTAAAAAAGAATCATTAGCAGTTAAATAAAAAATTAATATATGCAATGATATTTTAATCATGGGCAAAGTAAATGGATATACTGTTTCCCAAAGCATATTAATTTTTATACGCATAATTATTTTATTTTATACGTATATTATTATTACTGCGCATATGCGGTTAGCTGAATTGATTTTATCGTATGCATGTAACAAGCGCCTCTCTCCGAGATAATGCTTTGCTTTTATTCAATAGATAATTCAAGCATTTGTTGCTGATAATATCGAAACACATACGTATTGCGTATACATTTACAGATTTACATGATTGCTAAAAGCTTTTGACATTCTATAACCAATTTTACTGACTGTGATACATAAACCATTTAGCCTTTTGATATAAATATATCTACGTATTTCTGCAACATTTTATTATATATAAGAAATGTATAGTATAAAGTAACAAAAATATTTCTATTTTAAATATAAATACATTCTAATTATTTGCAAATTATATTCTATCATCTTATAAATATTGTATATTATTAATACATTAACAACTTCGGAGACTCATATAATTTACTTACTTTTTATTTATTCTTGGAGCCATAAAACTTTTTATTTTAATATTTTTACATATAATCATTTTTTTAGCAACTAAAAATTTTTTGTTATTTATATCGCAATTAAAAATATAACGACAAATAAGGAAAAAGAAAGCGAGGAAGAAAAATAATAATTTAATATACGACTTTAGTTTCCTCAAAAATTAATATCAATACAATATATCGTAAAAAAACTATAATTGTTATTAAAAATTATTATTAAAAATTTGCTAGCGTTGATTTGAAACATGAGATGCAAAGAGATGGAGAAAATATGCACAAAGTTCGCAATAGTCGTCTCAGCGTGCTCTTTGAATACCGAAGATCAGCAGTTTATAAAACATGCAAAGCAATCTGCCTCTTGTGAAAAGGGACGATGCTTTAACTTGGGAACCTACGAAACCGTAGGCGGATGTTCTAAGGTCAGGAGGATGACATAAATGATGTCTCATAGTCCGCAACACTCGCCCATTCGTAAAGAATTCATCCTCAATTTCGCAGAGTAAAACTTATCAGTTAATTTTTATTCCTCTCATTCACGACTCACGATACATTTATGTTATGTTAAGAAATACATTTGCTTGATGTAAATGTTACGCAATACGTATTAATTATTTTTATCTGTTTAAGAGAAAGCATTCTGAAATGTGAACGCGAAATGCTTCTTTAATAAAAAGTTCTTTGTGTGATTATTAATTCCTACTGTCTTTCATGATGTTATAAGCATCTCTGTTTTTATATAACTTCGACTTCAACTTTATCAAAGAAATTGAATTCTCGTAACTCTGTTGAGTACTTAATTCTTTCAGAGAGCGGATCTGGCAGTTGCTTCCATGACGATTAATTATGCTAGGGAAAGCGTAATAGACTTCACAAAGCCGTTTATGAATCTCGGAATTGGAATTTTATTTAAGGTGAGTTAACACCGTGCTGTCGATTTCTTTTAAAATTATTACATTTGTATGCAACATAATGTTAATATTTTATTATCCCTCCATCCAAAGTACGTATTTATGTTTCTAATGTTTAATTCTTGATTATATTTCAGTATATGCACATTGCATTAGCATATTAATAAAAGTGATTTTCATATGAGCACATCATTATACTAAATAATGAGAAACATAATAGATACTTTAATTATTCTACGATAATATCAATCACAAATACGCAAGACGTATTTAAGGAAATTTTCGTAATCCAAGAAAATTTTAATTCGTTTAATTAAATACGAGAAATTAATTTATCAAATAATCTGCACTGCATGTCTCACAAATTCTCTTTCTTCAACGTGCACTCGCGAAAAGAGCCTTTGAATATCCAGGATTGCCGTAAAAGTTGACTCGGCCCGCAGCGCCGCGCCGTACCGTGCCGCGTCGCGTCGCGTCGCGTCGCGTCGCATCACGAAACGGGATCCGTTTTAATTAAAATCGTAGCGTGACGTAATTTAGGTGCCGTCCAGTCAGCCGACACGGCTTTTCTCCTTCATGAATCCGCTGGCGGTCGAGATCTGGCTCTACGTGCTCGCCGCCTACATGCTAGTGAGCTTCACCCTCTTCGTGATGGCACGCTTCAGCCCGTACGAGTGGAACAATCCGCATCCGTGTCTGGCCGAGAGCGACGTGGTAGAGAATCAGTTTACCGTCAGCAACAGTTTCTGGTTCATCACCGGTACCTTCCTCAGACAAGGCAGCGGGCTCAACCCTAAGGTACACTCAACGAGGTGCTCCACCACTTGGACTACTTCTACCATTTTCCTTCGCGTACTCACCGACCGCACCGTCGGGACATCCTTCATCCGACATGCCCGCCCGTTTCTCTCACGTTCACCGCCCCCGAACGCTGCACAGTACCCGTTCACGAGGCAGCGCGCACATAAATCCATCATCTCGCTAGAGTGCAAACAGTAGATGTCTGTTTGCAGGGCACACGTCAATTCGTTTATATCTGTTTATGTTGCGAGTCGTATATTTGCAATATTACAGGGATGCTCACTGCCAGTAAAATAATCGAGCAAATCTTGGAGTGATATTGCAACAATATCGTAATATCTTTTATATAAAGCATACCGCGCCCTCCCCCCTTCCCCCATTTTGTTTTCAGAGCTAAAGCTCATAATGCATTATTCTAATTTGCATTGATCATTGAAGAAAAAATATATAATTAATCTTCTTTATATAATTAACTTCTTTATAAATTAAAGATTAACATAAAGATAGAGATTAACATTTACAAAGTAAATTATTTAGAATGCGCTACTTGATTTACATTTTTATCAATAGACTATGCGACTTACGACCCAATCTCAATTACCTCCTGCGACGTTAGCGATCACTCGTTAAAAAATAAAGCAGCACGTACGGCGATTGTACTCACAATCAGAGTGCACCGCCATTGTGTTCTGCTCGACGCGCGCCGGAGAATAATACGCTTCCGTAATTCCGTCGAAATAAAGAATCGTCTTTCAAGCCGTTTGAGAGACTGAATGTTGTGCAAGGAAGTGATGCGAGAGTTACATCTCGCGTCTTCAAATTATTTTTCAGCAAGGAACGTGATGTGATGGTTGGACATGAAGAATGCATTGTTGCATTCATCTTCGATATCGTATCAGGTCGATCAGATCAATTCTCGAAGATTAGTAACAACAAACGTCAATGCTTCAGGTAACCAAACGCACGCCACCGCGGCTCTTCTCGTTCATGACTCCCCTCGCCATGGAGATCTGGTTGTTCTTGCTAGGCGCTTACGTGGTGGTGTCCTTAACGATATGGATAGTGGCAAGATTCTCGCCCTTCGAGTGGGTGGAGCCGTCTCCCTGCCCAAGCTGCAAATGTCCTTTGCAGGTAGGCTCACGTCGAGTGGTGCGATCGATGAACTGTATTTAAATTACAAAATGCAGAGTGCTTTTTTAAATATTATGTAATTTTATATTTTAATTAAAATAATAAAATGTAGTCTATACTATTCTTCAATCATTAAAAAAATTGTTACTTTAGGTGCTTCATAATATTTTTCATATAATATTGTAACAAAACTTATTTTCAATTTATATTTCGTGATTTCACATATTACAAGATATATAAATATTGTATTAGATGAAGAAGGAACAATTAATTAATGTGTGAAATTACATATGTTTTAATGCAGCATTCTTCATTAATAACGTAAGAAAAAATAGATACTTTGTAAAAAAGAAAAATTTTACTTCTTAAAGAAAATGCTGTTTACTAAAAAAAAAAATTCAGAGTTATTTCGCATCTATATTTTCAGCTCTTCATAACATTACCCATGTCTGCATAGTGTAGAAAGAAATATTAAAAAATATACGATGCATGTAAGAAGTATAAGTTACCATAAGTAGAATTAGTATAATTATTTTTAAAACTGCACCACTCGACGGGGGGCTCATCACATTGTCACCAGGGCAGTCACGTGAGCGCCTTGGATCCGGACAGCGACGACATTCCTCTACTGAGAACTGTCAACGAGTTCAGCCTGGCCAACAGTTTTTGGTTTACGGTCGGCACACTTATGCAACAGGGCAGCGACCTCAACCCTAAGGTAAACGTGCCACCACAGAGTCAAACGTGTCTCAAGAAACATTCCTTTTTTTATTAACACAACATGTACGCATTTATGAATATTCTTAGCAGAATGACTTGTTGGGTTTCTAGAAATTCATTTTAAAAATATTTACTTCAACGACTAACTTTTACCGCTAATTAAAAAAGACCGTACGATTAAAAAGCGTATATACTTTAAACACTCATTTAAAATTTTCACGGTAAAATATTCATTTAAGTAGAACATTAGCAAAATCCAAAAATGGTAATAACTGTACTCACGCAAATTTGAATGGAAAAGTAAAATAGGTAAGGTTTTCTGTACCGTAATGTTTTGAAATGTTGATTCAGAAATTTTTACAACAATTTATAGACATTTTCTTTTTATGAAATAATTTTTATCTGTAAATATTCATTTGACACATTAAAAAATTATAGCTTACAAAATTTGATACAAATATTTAACGTTAATAATAAATATTTAACGAGGTAAAAGATACAAAGTTTGTCAAGAGTACAAGTTCGCATAATAATGCCGTACTTTTTTATAAAATATTAAATATATTATATTTAATATACATATATATAATACACATATATAATATAAATATTGTTTAATAAATATTCATAGAATAGTAAATAATTATTACCATCTACATTTTTTGTGAATTAATTTTCTTACATCTTTTTCTTTTCTTTTAATTATCGAGGATATTAACACATCAATGAAAAATCGATTATTAAATTTATTTTTTATATATATATATATAATTACAATGCCAACAACCTTCCATTCGCATTATCGGTCTATTTCTGTTCGCATCACTTAACCCGCCCAAGTCAATTCTATTGAAAGCAGTTTTCTTCTTTTTAGCTATCACACATATATACGTACACTTGGAAATTACTCGCTATAGTTCAGTTATGTACTAAGTATGCCCCGAACAGGGAGAGAACTTTATTAGATTTGGGAATATTTTGCGGAAAATAAAAAATATACGACCTAGGCAATAAAGCTAAGAGAAATTTGTTCTGTATCTCAAAAAACCCGTATTTTATACTTTCTTAAAAGTAAACTTTCCATTGTTACAAAATTATTATTAATTCCGAATATCTCACTTTAATTTTAAAAATCACGTGAGTGAAAAATTGGAACTGATCTATACCTTATTGTTAGTGTCTGGTAAAAAGAACATGTACATTACTAATTTTTGCTTTTAAAAAATTCATACTTTATGTCCGTTCCATAAACACGCTATCGTATTTTTACGCGTATAAAATGTTGCAAATTTCACTTAAATTTTTAAGTGGTTTTACTTGCATAAAACGCGAAATTCAACGTGTATTCCAAAACGAAAAACAAATAAATGTCAGACGCACAAAGGCACCATATAAGTACGCTATATAATTATGAAAGATAAATAGCATCGAATTTAAAACTAAGAGAGACTTTAAATACATGAAATGCATATAGCAATCACAATAAATTTATTATTCTTATAAAACAGCAATATAAAAAAGCATATTAATTTTAGCAAAAGAAATAACTACATTTCGCGTAATGATAAATACACAGATTATAATTAGATATCCTTAATAAGATATTATGTAAGGTACGTCTTTTATAAATTACAACAGTATTATAGCGTATTTTAGATGTTAATTAAAAATTAACTACAAAATAATCTATATAAAATTTATCTATTCAGTAATAAAATTGAACAACTCTCACAAACGTAATAATGTATTTATACGTAATAATGTATTTATGAACATAATGTATTTATATAAATTTCAATAGTTTTGCTTAATTTTTGTGGTGTTCTTCAAACGTCACGAATTCTTTAATAACTTTATCGTATCAACAAAGTAAAAATGTACAAAAAACACTATTCCTTTTATTTACACTATTTTAGACAGAAATTGACCTCTTTTTAACATTCTCCTTCTCACTAATAAATATTTCGCAATTACTAGTTTAAAATAAAAACGCTAATATAAATTGGAAAAATTGATAGTAAATAACAAACAAAATAAAAGCGCCATATGAGCCTGAATAAATGAATCCTATACAATATTTTTAGCTAACTTTGATCTTTATAACTCAAATACTATTATAATCATAATTTCATCTTTTAATCTTATTAATATCCAGAATACGGTTTTAAAGTAACACATGCTGCTTATAAAATATCTCTTATTAAAAAATATAATATTCTTCGTCTTCACATAAATCCATTCCAAGAAATTCTCTCAACATTTGATTTTTTACTTCTACTGCGTATAATACGATGAGAATAGAATGAAGAATGTCAGTGATGCAGAATAGTGCGCAATTGACTTCTAGTTGTCGAATAATACGTGCAATATTGTATAGAGTTCCGTCAATCGCGAGAAAAGTATCCGCGAGATATGAACTCGGGACAGCACCAGCATTGCTATTGTGGACAATGGAAGCATTCGGAGGGAAAGAAACTACGTCATTATTCACGCCATACTTTTCTTTTTTTTTACCGTACTTACAAAGATTTAAAAAAAATGGAGCTTACACAAGTTTTTTTCTTAAAATTTTTATCTTATTTTACTTGCAACACAACTGTTAGTTGGATTATGTAAATGTTTAAAAATCTGTTAAATAATATAATTTATCACGTTATATAATAATCAAACAGTAATATGTATTAATATAAATTGTTAATTCCAAAGATAATAAATTAATAAATACAACCTTTACAAGCATATGAATTATTAAATATTGATTAGATTCAAGCTTAGATTTTCAGTCAATTCAAAAATAAAACTTGAGAGCAAACTAGTTTATAAAATTATTACATGTACAATCCATGAATATAAAAAAAGTTAATAAAAAAAAAACGAATATCAGCCCTGCATGCACATATAAGTCAAAATGCTTTTCAATTATGTCTATGTTATTATAGCAATTTTTTATTGGTTTTAGTAATTAACTAAAATATCAATCGACTCATTTTTTTGCAGTAGTTTTCAAATTAGTTTTTATTTAGTATATAGTATTATTTATTTAGTATTTATACAAGTAACTTACATTACTGTTTTTATATGATGTTACTCTATATAATACTTTATGTATTTGCAATTAAAGCGTATAATTTACATTGAAATAATTTTCCTCCTACCTTTTTTAACATAAAGGTACATAACGTTTTGTAACAATAATTAATCAAATGTCTCTTGAGAGTTTAGTTCCATGTAATACTAAAATGGATTAAAGAGCAATGCACTTTATATGCCAGAAGCGTGAGATAAAAGTAGCTTTTGGTAAATTCTTGGTAGTAAATTCAACGTTCGATTCTTCACTTTTATGACACGAATGACTGCTGCGGATATTCTTCCTGCAGCATCGAACGGTGTTTTCCGAACTTACTTGCTCCATATTTCATGTCACATAAAAGCAAGAAAATATGTTACTAAGAAGCAGAACTGATAGAAAGAACATTCCGGATTTATTATAATTCTTCTATTATAATATAAATTGTAATAAAATATTTTTAATAATAAATAGCAAATTAAAAATGTATTTCTTGTTGCAAATTACATTTGCAAATTGTATGTTATGAATTATTTTTTAAAAACGTATATATGTTTATTGGATATCGTATTAATCATTTTAATTGTTTTTTATAATACTAATTCTATGAAAAAAATAGATATTGCATTGCAATATTTATCTGTACTAAATGCTAATTGCTTCTCTTGGAAACTTTTTGGAAATACAGTGATAGATGCATGCTGCATATGTGGTCATTTGTTATAGAGCATGGAAATTCGCGAGGTTAGGTTTCATAGTGAGATTTGAGTTGGTGTTGTTTCTCCGACAATGCCAACGGCATGGTAGAAAGGAGGTTTTGTTTACACTAAGCTGCAATGCACATGAAAACAATTACATGTCCTCAACAGCATCTCGCCTGGTAATGTTTCCCGTGATACCTCACGAATTTCCGCATCTTCGTCATTCATTTCTATTATCACTAGCAAAAGCAATTACTAGAATACGAACTACATACGCATCATATATTGTATTTAATACCTGTTGCGAAATATCAACAGACTAGACTACCAAAAATTTAGATAACAGAAGATACTCATGCTGAGATGTAATGTTTAATCAAATAGATGATTAGTTTTCTAAATCACATTCGTACATAAGATTATCAATTATTCGCGATTAATTATCTGATTCAAGCTACTTTTGGACGTTTGGAGTTAACTATTTTGATTAAAAGGGTAAAATTAGGGCTTAATAAATTTGAATACATTACATAAGTAGAAAAGGTGACTAAATATGTGTATGGCTAAGTAATTACATCAACTTTGATACGAATAATAACTTCGTTAACAAGACATTATCTTGCAGATATATCCGTTTGTCATGTCGTTAAATTATTGCGACGTAATGTCAGCTCTTTTAAACTTACAAATCACGAAATGCATTGTTTTTTTACGCACCGAACACAGTTTTTCGCTCATATATCATGTGACGTATGAATTTTAAAATACATTCCTGTTTCAAATGAAAAGCGAACAAAATGTTAGTATTTTAAAAATATACATATAAAGCTGGATTCAGATCAAGCAAATGAGCACAAACAAATGTGAATGATTTCAACAGTATCGCGAGTACTAAATTATTCATGTTTATTCGCGCTCGTTTACTTAGTCTGTGAATCCGATTTAAGACAATGCTAAGCATGTATGACTTAGATCTACCATTATAATTGATTTCTTGAGCTAAATCAATTTCTCGTTGTATAACTGTACATTACACGCTTAACAAATGTTGAAATAAATCTTAGGTCGCTACATTGCATGCTTACACACGTAAAACTTTGAAAAATTTATTTAACAAATAAGAGAAATTAAAAACTTCTGCATATATGAAGCAGCTAAAGAGTAGAATCTCACATGGAAATATCTATAGTACATCATATAATGCCAATTGACTCTGGTGGCACGTATGTACATGCGGGGTTGTCGTTGCGACTGTCTCGAGTGTCGGGAAATTATGCTTCATGTCAGCCAGATGCGCCGAGAATCGCGGTTTGAGCATTCAGAGCGAGTGTAATATTGCAAATAATATTAATGTGCGCGTAGTATTGTGCACGCGCAAAAAAATTGTTTTTCCTCTCATCGATTTAAACTCGATAGATAAGAAAACTTGTTTGTTTTACTTTGGCGCGTCGCCAAAAGAACCATTCTACATAAAATCACTTATAAAACATGAAATTATATTCGACATATGAATTATACACATTCATTACACATCGTGAATACGTGGATTACACCGTGCAAACTCTTTCGCGGGATATTACCGCACAGTAGAATTAAATCCGTTCGCTCAATTCCCAAGCGGCAGATGCTGCGTAATACGAGAATGAGAAAATCATTCATGGGTGTTCTACATTCGACGATCGTTTTCGCGTTGGTCTCGCCATTAATGGATCGAAATATCTAAACGAGATCCCGTATTGCATTCTTCGAATGCTACGAGAAATTTTTCGAGAATCATTGTTGACCTCGTCACCTTGATACGTCCTAATGCGTTTCCGATCGATCTTTTGAATCTCCTTACAATTCTTCGCAACAGAAGAAAAAAGTATCTGCCTCACAGTGCAGATGTATCAAAAGATTTACACATGAGAAATCCTACCAAAGTTTTAAACGGATGCTTCCCTCATATTTGCAACAATTTGATTTCGAACTACTGACTTGATTGATTGGATTAAATGATCTCCGTTATTTTAAGAACACATAGGAAAACACATATCACTTGATTGTTTGAAAACGCATTAAACTGTATATTGACACCATTACAAAAAACTTATTTTTTTACACGGAAAGAATAATTTTGCTGAAGTACCCAAAAATTCAGCTATATACAGATTTAAAAATAATTTTGTTGGACTATCAAAATAATTATGTAGAACGTTCAAACTGTAGGATGTCTTTTGTAGCATTGTTTATCATGCTTGAAATTCTTACAATTATTGCGATAATCCAATAATTATCCAACAAAATTATTTTCAGATTTGTACCTACATCTTTAGATATTTCAGCGAAATGGTCTTTTCATATACGTTTTTAAAATTATAAGAAGTTAAGGAGATTATTAAAATTAATCAGTACATTTATTCGCAATAATTTATGTTTATACTTCTAAATTCTTCAATTGACTAAACTAGTGTTTCCATAATGCAGTTTTATAAAGGAATAATATGGATTAAACTGACATTTGCAACGCAGAAAATAATTTGAAATGATTCCCAGATAATTTGGTATCATCAAATTAGAACATCCATAAATTTGCTAAATAAAAAATTTATTAAGATTATTCAAAATGAATACGAAATAAATCCTCGTTATCAGGCAACTAGTACGAGAATAGTAGGCGGCATTTGGTGGTTCTTCACGCTAATCATCATCTCCTCCTATACTGCAAATCTGGCTGCTTTTCTAACGGTGGAGAGGATGATAACGCCGATCGAGAATGTCGCTGATCTCGCGGAACAAACCGAGATATCTTATGGCACTTTAGAAGGCGGAAGTACGAAGACGTTCTTCAGAGTAAGTGCAGAAAATTACAGAAGAAGAATTGCTTTTACATTTTCTGTGCAACTTAATACATATTTTAAAATGTCAATAATATATAATTATTATAACACATTTAAGTATTAACAATTTTCTTTTATGTATTTCCAATATTATAATATTACAATTTCTGTACTCCTTGTTTACAGTAAAATTTTTAAAAAATCATAATTTATATAAAAATTTTCAAAATATAATATTGATATTGGAATAATAAGTTATAACAGATGACGTAAACTAATCTTTTAATTATTATTTAATAAAATATTAAACAAATACATGTAAAAATATATATAATGAATTATTCAATACATTCGCGCTCTCTGAAATAAAAAGAATGTATATATGTATATCAAATAAATCTGCTGATGTCATACTAATGATTGATCAATTTATGATGTGCATTTAGAAATATCATATATCACGCTGTAAAATTTTAACAGAAAACTGCATCGTTAAACAAAAATATGGTTTTTTGTAAATCCCATTCTCTCTGAGTGAGATGTTTTTCCTTCAGAAAAATGAACAAATTAGTTGGCTAGTAATGAGGAAAAAATTCCTGAATTTCACTTTAATATTGACAATGTCGAAGCTCGACCATTTGCTTAATAAAAACATTTAATTCGCGCGGATAAAAGCGGATTCTTTCAATACAATATTAATTTTTTCGTTTTTCACGATTTCAGGAATTCATATTCAACTTCAATTTTCGATTAAAATTAATTGTGGAGTACAAAACACAAACTGAACACAAAGCGTCAAATAATTAAATTTGCATATGGAAAGAACGATTTTATTGAAGTATCTAAAAATTTAACCAAATACATGAAAATAATTTTGTAAAACCGTCAAACAATGCAGAATGTCCAAGCTGCTAGAATGTTAAAACTTTTTGCAGTATTGCTTAGTATGCTGGAGCATTCTATATAATTATTTTGATGATATAATCCAATGAGCTCTGTATCATAGTTGAATTTTTACTTCTAAAAAATCGTTCTCACTGTGCATTATTAAATAATTTAATCACAGGATTCAAAAATCGGGATCTATCAAAAAATGTGGAGATTTATGGAATCAAAGAGTCCATCTGTGTTCGTTCAAACCTACGAAGAAGGAGTGAAAAGGGTTCTGGAAGGCGACTATGCATTTTTAATGGAGTCGACTATGCTCGATTACGCAGTTCACCGTGATTGTAATCTAACACAAATAGGGGGATTGTTAGATAGCAAAGGATATGGAATTGCTACTCCAAAAGGTAAATATGAATAAAGGTAAATATGAATAAATAGAAGCCATATTTGAAAAGAGTAATTACCAACGTATTTAATATTGAAAGCTCAGAAGTTTCTCTGAAGTGGATGATACCCAATTAAATTTCTGCTAAAGGAAAATTGGCTTTCTTAGCCGGCACAGAACGAATAGTTCAAAAGTACAGTTTTTGTTCATAAAATACGTAGCTTATACAGTCAAATAATTTTAAAAGATTATATATTTCCATCTTAGAACGGGAAAAAATTTGAAGATGTTCTATGAGATTAAACCGCATATTTAACATACGTATATTATTTAATAATATATTCGATATATATCCAACGTGCAAAACGTGCAATGGCAAAGTTACGTTCGAGATTATGCTGTAGAAGCAGAAATTGTGAAGCCCTTGGCCAGCCTAACGAAGGCTTTTTATATGCAGGTTCGCCCTGGAGGGATAAAATATCTCTAGTTATACTGGAGCTACAGGAAAAAGGTGTAATACAGATCCTCTATGATAAATGGTGGAAGAATACGGGTGACGTATGCAACAGAGATGACAAGAATAAAGAGAGCAAAGCTAATGCCCTTGGAGTTGAAAATATTGGTATGTTTATATAGCCAACCATATTTTTTATCAATCGAAATTATATATTGTTCCTAAAAATATTAAAATTAACACAAAAATGTTAATTTTAATATTTTTGCACATGTTTCAGAAAGTCCACTAACCGTCTTTTAAGTTAAAATTAACATTTTATTTTTTTACAGTGTAGACAGGAACAATAGAAAAGATTAAACCAGCTCTAAGGAGAAAAAGAAAATTCTTTTATTCTTAAATCATGCCTAAAAATGAATGTTTACATCAGATATATAAATATATAAATAATATCAAGATACTCATTTTCATTAACGGGTTACATAACACAATCATCAAAGGATTCCGGATTAATTTTCATGAAATTGAATGACGAAAATGATTGCTTTCACGATGTTTGAATAACTGCTTAATCAATTAAGTTATCATGTTTACCGATACGCATGCATGAATAAATTCAATAATATATTAGCAAAAAGAATTTGTGAAGCTGTATTTCATTCATAGCCATACGTACATCAATTATAGTACAACAAATTTAGATCATGCAACCTATCAGTTATATTTGCATGTTATAAATCTCCGTCACAGCTGCGGCATTAGTGACATTTCGTATTATATGCACGTATACAAAAGGGATGTATTTAATGGTCATAACTTCCGCGTGTTCTACGTGTCTATTTAAATTTCAGTCACTTTTACTATTCTATTTGCTTTTACGACTAAAAAAATTGTAAACATGTCGTTGTACAGCAGTATAAATCACTGTATATAGTGTACTAAAAAAAAAATCCAAAACTAAATCCAAAAATAAAAAACTAACAACTAGCTTTAAAGATTTACTTAAAGAAAATGATAAGACATAAATTATAAACATTACGCATTAAAAGATTTCAACTAAAATATTGTAAAAAGTCAATTATCTGTTCATCTTCGAACAATTTGTGGATTTAATATTTTTTTTGTACGTGCACATATAAAGTCTTTAAAGCTAAACTTATTAGATGTTAAAATAAATAAATATCAATAGACGGAAATATCGCGCATAAATATTATAGTAGTCTTCAGTGTCAGAAAGTTAATTTTTTACTATAGAGGACAATGAGATTTGGTTGAATATAAAGTGAATATTGAAGAAAAGAGAAGGTTTTCAAGCGCGACGGAATCTTGCATAAAGTTCGCGGATGAATTTTTCTTCGAACTCTTCGGAAACCGCTTCCGAATTTTTATGGAAGTCACAACAAGTTTCTTCTTTCTTCCCCCACTTTGATTCAGCTCTTTCCTTTTTTTCCTTCGCTCGCAGAAACTCTCGGGCTATCTACTTACTTTGCCTCTCTTTCCTCGTCACCGTTTCTTTACCGCCGTGTAACTTGGATAAGTACGCATTTCACCGACGGTGTAAATGTACTTGACAAGACAGATAAAAAGAACGAGCTGTCTCAAGTGAGATGCAAAAATCTCGCGAAATTATAGTTGAATTGCTAATTTTTCTGTTCTTTTTAATGTCTCTTGATTATTTGCCATGATAAAAACGGTCGTTGTCGACTGACCTTTATCGTGCTATTTTTATAAGAATAAGTAGTGCTATCTCGAGGAAAAAAAGCTTTCAGTAGTCTTAAAGTAATTGACAGAAATGTAAAATTAAATTGGCTTTTTCACTTTGTCGGAAGCTTTAAAAATGTAGAGAATCTTTTCATAGAGTATAGCTAGTCTCTGAATCCTTGTGAATTATTTAAAATAAATATTCAATTTGATTCCAATAAATGTTTTACAACATTTTTGATAAAAATTATTTATTTAATGATAAAATTTATCATTAAAATTAAAATTAATAATATAGTTAAAATTAAACAACAGCGTTTATTAATAATTACAATTTCTTGTAAATAATGGTAGATAAGTAATTTAACAAAAATTACTTATTATATATATATAATTATTAATTATTACATATAATTATTAATTATTAATAAAAGATTTTAATTGTGTTTTAATTATGCTTAATCGTTAATTTTAATCATAGTGTGTCTGTAATATATAAAAGTGAAAAAGGAAAAAAAAAAGAGATTAAATATAAAAATGTAGAACATCAAATAAGTTTCATTAACGTTAGTTGTTTCAACTTCAATTTATATTTTCTCAAACTAAAATAGAAAAGAACAAAAAAGAAGCGGAAAACCAAGCTAAGGATTCCTTGTGATGATCTTAAGTATAAATAAAAATAAACGCGAAGCTAAAAAAGTGAAATACAATCAAAGTTAACCAATTTTAAACTATATAAAAAATATATTCCGTCATACAATATCGTTGTTGTATTTAAGATTATATTTTCTTATGTATATATTGTATTCATTGATCAATGAAGCAAACATGATAAACGTATTCTAATAGTATTAAGACGATAATATCGAAAATTCCTTATTCTTGAATCCACTTAGCGCGACCTTGCATTTTCTTTGCTCATTTGCCTTAGAATATCGCTAACTCTGCGGAGTTTCCGAATTAACGTGAGAATCTCTCGGAGAACGGTGAGCTCCGGATAATTCCCGGTTCGTGCCTAAGTGTTTTGGCAAAAGTCCGTCCCGTCTTACGGAAAATTTAGCTATATATCCTGTAACTCGGTGAACAGAACTTCCCGCCGCAAAACTTGGATCAGCCTGTAGGTGTACAATGTCGCACGACCTCTCTCCGGACTCGGCTCTTGATATCGTTTCGCAAAATAGGCGTGAAACACCGGTGATATCCGCGGCGCCCGCGCGAGAAACTTTCGTCTTTCCGGTGAAACGTCCGGACTGTCATCATAAATCACGGCGGTGTAGTTATG